ATTTTATATTTGTATTTTAAATTATTTTTGCACACATCCTTAGTATGATATGTAGAGGATATTCAGCTCTATCGCCTGATATGGATTAGATCGCAAACGGATAATATTTGACGGAGCTAGCTCTATTTAAAAGGCGACTGGTAAAATGTTTTTGTGTTCTAATTCCCCGCATGTGGGGAATTAGAGCAGTACATGTAAATGGGTGGGGTAATTAGAACAGTTCGTGCAAAACACATGGAATTTACCTATAAAAGTGTTTCCCATTTCATATTCGTATTTAAGTTATAATTAGACGATTCCTTAGCATAAATTATGCACAATTGTCTCCTCTATCGATTGAGACTATGCATTTGGGATGTCCTAAAAACATTTACGCAAGATGAATACAATACTGGTGTATTATCACAAGATCACTAACAAAAGTAAACACAATTTGACAGGTAATCACAAAACCATAACGCCTGACTGCGAGACACTAGTAATATATGTACATTTAATTGGAACTAAATTATGTCTAGTTTAAATTGAAGAATTTTGACTATTTTCGATGATTTCGACCCTTCCGAGCGCTTTTAGTCGAATATATTCGACAGAATCTATTCGAAAGTAAGCAATGATTTAGCGCCAACAATATGACTGTAAAATCAGGATTTCTCAGTAACCATCCAATATTAAGCCTAGTGCAATAAATCATTCGATGCACTTTGATGCTATGCACTTTGGTGTTGTATAAAAGGGTTGTTTCAAAACTCTTGAAACTAAGGTCTCTGGTTCAATCTAAACCTCAGAAATGATCAAGATACAGATTTGGTAACGAAAAACAACATCTATATATTTTGTCTGGAAGAAGTTCAAGATGTTAACTAGTTTATTAAAACGAGTGAAAATTTAGATAATTTAATTCAGTTCAGTTTTTAAAACTAAGATTGATAGTGTAGACAATTTGCTCACTTAATGCTAACAAAATAATAACTTAAAATACAAATATAAAATGGGAAACACTTTTATAGGTAAATTCCATGTGTTTTGCACGGACTGTTCTAATTACCCCACCCATGTACACGTACTGTTCTAATTCCCCGCATGTGGGGAATTAGAACAGTCGAAACCAGCCATCCGCAGATCTGCTCCTGATCCTGAAGGAAATGGACTTTTGAAAAACGAAAACGACCTTTCAACGGAAAAATACCTCCTCTACGACTCTTGCCAAGGAACTACCCCCAAATTCCTTAAGCTAATACGGAGATTTAAAAAAATACTGTTCTAATTTACCCCACCCTATTCTAACATATATGAATATGAGTAACTGAAGTATTGATATCAACTTTTGTTTACTTCCAGATAACTCCAGTTAGAAGAAATGTATTCATTAACTTCTGTTGATAAATGTCAGTATATTTCTACAAAAATAGGTTCATTATGTACAAATACACAATACAGTAATTGTCCACATTGTTCTTTATGGTTATGTTTTGATCATATTAAAGAGCATCAACAACTGCTACAAGAAAAATTGCATTCAATTGGTGATTGTATGAATGAACAAATAATTAAACTAGAATCTTTAACTATTGATCAATGTTTTTTTAAATGTCATCAACAGTTAGATACATGGCGACTATATATGAATAAATTTATTGATGATTTATATAAAAAACGAAGTGAAGAACTTGATGAGTTACATAAAAATACTGATAAACAATGTCAACAATTTCAACATAAACAATTAAATCTTATTAAAACAGTATTAATACCAAAATTAAATGAATTAGTTAGACAACAAACAGTTATTCCCAGTGATATTTTAGAATTAAAGGAACAATTAGCAAATATTAAAGATGAAATAATTTCATTTGAACAAACAAAATGGGTCGAAATTAAATGTACAAATGGACTTGATGATATAGTTAAAGTTCTTAGTGAAAAACACGATAGTATTAGTTCGAAAAAGAAAAAAAGTAAACATTTATTAGATATAGAAGATATATTAAAGAAAAAATCTATTCAAAAATATTATTTACAAGCAAATACGGCTAGAATAGCAGTATCCGATCAAAAATATATTCTTTTAGCAAATGGACAAAATGATAAACTTGATTTATTTGATTTTAATAAAAATATTAAAGTTATTGAATGGAATGTGAACGCTTGTGGACCAGTAACAGATATTTGTTGGTCATCATTTATGAATTTATTTGTTATACTAGGTAAGATGACAATACTATAATTGATTCAATTATTATACAATATAAATAATATTTTATCTAGGTTATCAATCGTTACATACATACGATTTATTATCATTTAAATTAAATAAAATTGAACATATTCAACCGACTGATCCTCAAATCTTATTATGGTCAATATCAACACATAATAAAGATGTATTTATTAATTATACTACTGGAACATTTGTTGAACGATATTCACTTCCATCTTGGACATTAATTAAACGATGGAAAAAAAATGATATAATAGAAGAGAATGATCGAGGTATTGCTTTAGTAAAAGCTAGTAATTTTTCAGTTGGTGTATTGGTAATGCAAAATGATTTAAAATGGCGAATTGATTTGCATGATTCTAATATGAAACGTTTACGACGTTGTTTAACTTTAGATTCAACTGATAATATAAATAATTATATGTGTCGATTAACACCATTGTATGATGGACGATGGATATTTATGAATTGGTATGCTAATAGTATATGGATTATAGATGAATTAGGTGTGGGAAAACAATGTGTGGGAGTAAACGATATTTTACACTCATGTTTATGTGTAAATCAAGATTTTCTAATCGTTTTATTTAGGGAACCAGCTCGTTTAGAAATATTTCATATATAAACCGTTGTATGTACAAATATTTAAATTTAATTTGTTTTTGTACATATTTTTATTATAGTTAATCTTGATTATTTATTTTATTTTCATTTTTTGGATATATTCTTACAAGTTAAACACTATGATTCTATGTTATTGTTTTTTTAGTTTTCACCAAAACTTATATAACCTGGAATGATTTATTTTTCAATTTTATATATTGTTATTATTATCATCAATAGCAATAACATTTGATATAAATTAATATTCTCATTTCTATTATAATTCGTTAATATAATGAATTGTGTTATTTGTATCATATTAGAGAACAAAACGAATATGGTAAAATCGATGTGCTTTATACTTTTGTCTTTTTTAATGTCATGGAGTATGTGACGTATAAAAAATACTTTGTTTTTATCTCGATTTAACTTTAACATAAGAAAGAATAACTCTAAATGGTATTAATCATGTCGATTATAGATGAATCAAAATTTATAATAAATTGGTTAAGAATATTTAAAAATAAAGACGATATAATGAATTGTTCAAGTAAGTTAAATGTTTATTTTAGATACATACTGTTCATAATCGTAGACTACGATTCGTAGTATTGTCATTGATTTATTAGACAAGGAACAATTTTTTCATTTATTCGGAAGAGAAAAGAGTTTTTTCCGTTATTTACGGATCTGCTTGTTCGTTACTAAAACTGTTTAGTAATATGAAATGATACTATAACGGACATATTCTATGCTTTAATGAATTTGAACGATAAGAAATATCTCTCGAATTAAATATGATAATTTGTATATGAATGACGTGAAAATGATTGAATCCTCTTAGACCGTCATTGCATCCTCGGTCTTAACATTTTTATTCGAATGTAAAAAATATGGTTTAGACTATCAAATATTTTATCAAAATTTGATGAAAGTACAATTTAATATCGCAATATCATCAACAATATTTCGTTAAAAAATACTGTTAACGTGTTAAAATAATTTAAAAATAATTGAATATGACGAATTTATTTTCATTTGAAAACAAATCAACTAAATAACATTTTTCTTTGAAAGAAGTTTGAGTTCTAAATTAGTCAATTGTGTTCAAAGTTTTTCAAAAATTCTAAAAAATAACTAAAACCGTTCTTAATGAGGCATAATTGTAGCCCGCAAATTTCTAATTAAAATGAGACATCTCCCAGCTCAACACGACCTTTCTTTGCAAAAATTTACAACAAAAGCTCTAATTTCTTATTTCTGTAGCTTTGAGCTGATAATGAACATTTAGAGCTTTTCTTATAAATTCTATAACTTTGCAAAAAAAGGTCATGTAGAGGTGGGAGATGTCTCATTTTAATCAGAAATTTGCAGGCTACAATTATGCCTCATTAAGAACGGTTTTTGTTATCTTTTTAGAGTTTCTGAAAAACTGGTTTTCCAGAAAATCGGGTCTTCAAGCGTCATGGGAAAAAATCCTTTTAGGCTTTTTACTAGTTCGATACCCTCTATCGATCAACGTATGAATGAACGAAATCGGAAGGTATCACCTGGATAGGTTTTCTCGTAAACAATGTTCTTGTTACAAGTTGTTTTGTTTATCAATTTTTGTTTTGAAATATTTATTTATTGTGGTAATTAAAATGTGTATGTTCTTTATATTTTTAGCCATGTGATTTTATTTATCAATCAGCGATGTCGAAAAGTTAATTATGGCCAGAATATAAAGATAATCTACGAGAGAAGATCTTATCTGTAAACAGTGATCTTTTGTGAAACTTCTCCGATATCTTCGAAAGAAAGAGGACTTCAAGTACTCGAAAGCTCTTGATTTTGGCCATTTTTTTAACCTCCTCTCCCACCCTGGTGCTCACATCGTCTTAAACTATTCAACAATTTTTGAACGATTTTGTCATTTTATCCCCATAAGGGGCTGCCATGACAGGGTTTTTAATTGGAAAGAAACAACTAGAAAAAATTTGTTTATAGAGTACAATATGTGAAAGATGAGTGTTATAATAACTACACAAACAACAACATCAAGACTATTTCAAATTATGAAAATAACCAAAAATTAGCATGCTTGGTTTATCATATTTAATATTGATAAAATTTATCTCCTACAGCATGAGTTTCAATTCTTAGTCTGAATTGACTTTTCTAGTTTGATTTTATGAACATTGTTATTAGTATTTACTAATAAATAATTGTTCATTTCTTTTGTCATGATGTTATTATTTTTATTTTCTATGTTCTTGTCTTCAGATATCTTTTATTAAATACAACAGTCAGTCTATCGTTTATTTTAATTATTAATCAATCATCTTCTGTATGTATCCGTCTAAAAAACATTCGAATTATTAGTACAATTAAATCAATGGACATCATTCACTTATATTATTATAATGACCTATAATCTAGATTGATCGAAAAAGAAGATTAAAACAATCATCAGTAACAAGACAACAACGATGGTAATGCAAAAAGAATAATGAAATTGTATTACTAGTCGATTCTTAAAAAGATTTCTATTTCTAATCCTTAATATATATATATATATACATATTTATAAATCAAGTCATTTTCAGTCAACATGTAAATAATCACGACATTCTTAATCAATTTGTTTATCTACAATTGTTATTTCTAACCGAAGAACTCAAAATGTACGTAACACTACAAAATATAACAGACGAAACAAAGATCCCCAAAAACTAAATATGAAAATGATGATGGACCAACAAATATATTTTGGGGACTTGAACGGTGTCGTTTCACTTTGAACAGGTTAATGTATGAATTTAAATGATCGAGGATATTGATGATATCTATAATCGAAACCTCCCGGTCGTCAATACACTTTTCGGACAAAAGCAAACGTTCAGAGAGAAACAAAAAATGGGAGAAGAATTAAAAAATCAAATATTGTACAATGATCTTCGATGTTTTCCCTACAAAAAAGTTCAAGAATCCGCTCTCACCGATCTACAGAAAACAAAAAGAATCAACTTTGTACATTAGATAATTTGTTCAATCTTTGTTTTTTAATGTCTTTGCCTTTTATTTAAAACAAATACATCTAAAAATAGTTTTACAACATTTTATCTACCACTTTGTAGAGAATTGATCGGACTATCTTTTGGAAGAAAAAAAAAGTCAGTCACAGTGAGTTTAAGAAACGCGAGAAAAATCGAAAATACATAGAGTGTACAGTTTTGTCTGTTACATCCGGTAGAATGTAACATTGACATCAAGAGACATGATATACACCCAAAACTTTCTCTATTAAAATTAAGGCAAATTTGTTTTTCTTTTTAGCGTTTAAGTCAAATATATCTAAGGAAGAAGATTCATCGACAACTAGAAAATATGAATCAGATATTCAACCAGTTCTATTTTCGTAGATATAGCATAACAATGATCCATAGAAGCATTGTAAGAGTATGTAACTTAAAATGGAATAAAAATGCAAATGGTAATATTTAATTTTAGCGTTTTGACTAGTGTTTTGTTAAGTAATTGATGTTATTATCTGTTTATGTTGTTGCTGTAAGACATGGTGAAATGTTAAAAGACATCACTATTACTGAATTAACAATCAGAATACATTCGAAACAGGGTATACAACGGCATATTCTTTGTCTTTTGTTAGTACAAATAATTATTTTACATTATATTTAGACAATTGTTTTAGAGTTTAAATATTTGGTACTGAATTTTTATCAAAAGATGATTTAGAACATACTATCGTTGGAAAGGGTATAAACAAAGTCGTATAGAATTTGATGTGTTCACTCGAAAATTACTCCGGGTTGTTTATTAAACTCCAGGTTTTTAGTTATTAATTTGAAAGACATTATTAAAATCTGTCAGTGAATCATTATAAGATGTTGGTTAAAAAGAAGTATCTAATTACGAACAATTCTTTCTTAAGAGAATTAAGAACAAATGAAACAAATGTAATTGAGAAAAGAGTAAAAAGTTTCCTACATAAGACTTTACAATTCATTCTCACATATTTGTCTACATTTGAACTTTTTCCTTACAGTTTCTTTTTCTATTTTTGCCTGTATTTTCTAGAATAACTTTTTTAATTTTTTTATTTGTAAGACATTTAAATTCATAATAAACGTTGCAAGCAAACAGAAAAAATGTATCAAATCAACGGTAAGACAAGTTGAACAAATAAATTTCATATCAACGACTATCACTATGACAATAAAAAGTAAAACTTGAGGACTGTTTATATTTTGTTGTTTATACTGTTGACTAATTTTGAAGGAAAGGAAAATAGATTCGAAAATCTTATTCTTCAATTGAATTTCTTCCAAAATTATTTGCTTATTTTCAACTTAACAAAGCAACATGATTTAAAAAACGTTTTTCACTAATCTATAGATTAACAGACATGTTGCAACTTTTCGATTTTTGAACTGGGGTCGATGGATACCAAAACCTTTGCCATAGTCTTTCACCTTCTTTTCTTTTTCGGAATTATAGGATGAGGATTATCTCCATGTCTTCCGCACTGGACAAGACTCTTCTGTGCACTACTCTATAATGAATCTCGCAAAGCCACAGTATCCGATTACTGAATAAATCTCTAAAAGATGACCATTTATCGTACTGATGTAAAATTTAGTAAAAACAATGTCTTATTACCTAAATATCGTATACTGAATGGGTATCTAATTACTGAAAAATTTTTACCAAGCCACTCGTGTATGTTTGAATCATTGTTTTGTTTTGTGTTTATTACTATACGAATACTATTTACTTCAAAAAATAATATAGTTTTATCGTACAGATGATTCTCTTGACATGCACAAGATTAAGTTAGCTGCGATACAAAAAGTGCTATAGTGGGCACTGATACATAGCCTATTATAAAACAATTAGCTAAGAAATAACTTCGAATATCTAAAAATATATCACTGCGGTATCCCTCATCTGCTCTCATTAATATTTCATCAAAGTACTTGAAAAGCCATCTAAACAGCACCTTAAAGCACAGCAAGAAAC